AAATCTGTAACTTTTCAAATAATCGCAAAATTTGCAAACTTCCTTAACTTTTGTCATAGACCTATTAACTAGATCTAGAGAATTTTGTTACACCAGATCTAGAGAATTTTGTTTCCTTAGTACTATCATCAGATTAGTGACTTTCTTTGTTTCAGTAATACCAAAACAAGATCTAGGAACTTTTCTTCTTTTACTGGGAATTTTTTTTGTTACTATTTAATAGCCGAAAGTCCCTTGATTTGATGACATTACTAAAAGAGCAAATGCCACTAGATTTGGTGTTGTTTCTATTTCATAGCAAAAGTCTCTATAGATTTGATGGCATTACTAAAAGAAGAAAAGTCCCTAGATCTGGTTTAGACATTACTGAAGCAAAAAAAGTCACTAATCTGATGATTCTGAAACAAAATTCTCTAGATATGATGATATTACAAAAAGACGAATAAGTCCCTACATCTGGTGTGCTATCATAAAAACAAAAAATATCCCTATAAATCAGATAATATTACTTAAACAGCAAAAGTCCCTAGATCTGGTTTTGGTACTATGTAATAGCAAAAGTCTCTAGCATAGACCTATTAACTTAATAGGTCTATGGTCTCTAGATTTGATGACATTAGGTACTAAAAGATCAAAAGTTCCTAGACCTGCTCTTATTACTACATAAAAGAGCAAAACTCCTTAGATCCTGTGTTATCCTTGACATAAAAACAGTCACTAATGCCCGATTTCACCAACATATGTTCTTAGGCATTTCCTAACTAAGTAATTCCTAGGGTAGGAATTACTTAAATCGAATACTTACCTAAATTGAATTTCACCAACATTAGGAATCCCTTACTAAGAAATACCTAGGTAAAAATTTGATTTCGACAATTTTTTGAATTTTATTGGTAGCATTGCTTAATTTTGACGTGTAAACCGAAAAAGCGGAGATCGAAATTGAATATGTTGAGAGAAAAGAAGAGGTTTTGATGATCTGGGCCATCTTTAAACTATGTTTGTTATTTTTAAATCTGCTGAAGATGTAGTCTGTACATAAATAGAAAAATAACCTTTCAGATTTGTAAAATATTTCTGCATCTTCTCCTCCAGCACAATGGATCTTTACATGCATGTGTACGGTCAATAGATCAAAAAACTTCCTGTCTTTCAAATTAAAAATAATCTTTAATTCTTTCTAATATTTGTAATGCCGTATTTTTATAAATCGAAAAAGGTGAAAAAAATCAGTTTCGTCCAGTTTCTAAAAACTCTCCTCCCATCTTAAATTTTCATCTAAAGAGTCTAAAGACAGTCAATCTAAAGTCACATGAAATCACATAAAAAGTATGGTTAAGTATTTCCTAAATGTTTTAGGCAAGCCCAGTGAGTTGTCCTAACTTTAGGCATTTCCTATTACTTTTAGGTATTACTTAGTGCATGGTGAAACGCAAATTGTACTTAGGAAATCCTAAATCTGGTTTAGGTATTACCTAACTTTAGGAACTGGTTGGTGAAATCGGGCATAAATATAATTACATTACTAAAAAAAAAGAAAAACAAATTTAAAGATAAAATAAAAAATAAAAAAAACTAACAACCTACGCCACTGGCAAGTGTTCCTACTTCTATAGAAGGACTTCGATAAAACCGTCGCATGTCCTTTTGCGTCAAGAGCACACACCGCATTTCTACCGTACGCCTTGTAATATAAACCTATTCTTCGTATATGCATCGCTAGACCGCTCGGCACCCGACAATGCACTTCATAAATCAATCCTTCCTTTTTCTTAATGCCTACATAAATAATTATTTAACTATGTATAACTCAAACGCGACTCGTTTATTAGGTTCGATTTATTAGAAAATTGATATCCGATTATTACAGGGTGGTAATTAATTAATTAAGTGGCGATATTTTTGCAGGATGTGAATGTTTGGGTGATTTTGTGAAGAAAGGTTTATATCAATGTATGTCTTAAAGCTGTTAGTTTTTGAGCTACAGGTTGTTAAAGTTTTAGAAAAAAAAATAACTTTTCTATCACAATTTTCTTGTTACTTCAGATATTTTTATGAAATTTTGGACGTGGACGTCACTGGTAATAGTAGAAAATTAATTTTTGTCCACCTAAAAAAGTGTTTTAATACATGATGGGTAAATTTCAACAAAATATCAAAATCAGTCTCGAAATGAATTTGTGAAAAAATTGTTTTGGTTTTTATTTTTTTACGCGAAAATGGTGCGTTGTACGAAAGTAAGTCTTCGGGCCGAATTTGCTCCAAAATGAATGAGGATTTTAAAAATATTTTTGTTTTTTAGAAAAACCAGCGGCGTACCATTTTTTTCTTCAAACATATTCAATTCAAACCCAATTTATTTTTTCTAAAATTATAATACCCTGTAGCTCTCAAACTAAGAGATTTTGAGATCTAACTCAAACTAAGATATCCCGAAATATCGGCACTCGATTAAGTAACACCCTGTAGATATAAGCTTTTTTTTTAATCGAGAAAAAACGCGCCCAATTTTTCGTTTATTTCCTCTCCATTTTTTTTTTTTTCGAGCGCTCTTCTTCCTTACAATTCCTTTCTTTCTCGTCTTCGATCAGCATTCAGATCGTCTCAGAGTGTACCTATAGGTATTCCGAAGGTTCGGCTTTTTCATGATCGACGCGGCGAAATATTTTTCCTCGCAAACGGCCGATAAAACGTCCGGAAAAAATGCAAAAATAACGATAAAAAAGGAACAATTGCACGGCAATCGGTAATTAAACCTGTTCGGGTTTTTATCAAATAGTTTTACATGGACGGGTTCGTTGTGTGTGTGTGTGTGTGTGTGTGTTTTTTTTTATTTTTATTTTTATTTTTATTTCTGATGATGTCGCCGTTACCGATCGATCGGCGATCGGATGAGAGAATGAGAGATCGCTTTTCCCGGAAAAAATCTTTCGGACGACCGGTAACTCGAATTTTTATCTACCTAGGTGGTATTTTTACCGTGTATTTGTGCTTAATTAGCTACCGAATTGTAAATTAAGATTCTGGTGTGGTTTATTAAATGTGGCTGTCGATGTATACTGATCGGAGACCGGTCGATTTTAAAGAAGAATGAGAATTGTTTCGTAGTGGATTTACAGGCGATTTGTAGTAGAAGAAACTTGGAAATTTTGCATATAATAAAAAAAAAGATTATTTGCTCATTTTGGATGATTTTCTTATGAGTATTTTGGTTTAATTTGTCGATAATAATAACTAATTTTTAAGTGTCTTTTAAAACAAATTGTCTGTAAATCCCTACGAAGTTAGGCGCGTTTTTCTTCCTAATCGAAAGGCCTCCAATTTGTAAGATATACAGCCATTTCATTTAGTTATCCAGTTTACTTATTTCATTATCCAAAATCATCCAAAAATTCCCAAAAAATTGTGAAAATTAATTTAGAAAAACTGGTTTATAATCAAATAATAACCAATACAAAAACTAATGAATAAATGAGGGAAAATTGCATTAAAAATATGAAAAAAAATCCTCGAATATCTCAATAAGTAAATGCTTTTAACACTATACTTTTACCTAGAATAGTAAATAAAAAAAATACAATTATAGATCAATATAAAGTAACATGGATAGATAAGAATTTTAAGTAAATGCGAGTACAAAAACCGGATAAAAAACTTTAATGCGCCAATAATAATAAGGAAAAATTAGAAATTCGCATCCAGATGTTGGCGTTTTATAAATAACGAAAAAAAAAACCCACAAGCCGGTATCGGATCGGTAGCAAATGGATAAGAATAAAAGAGAATAAGCGAAAAGCCAGCAGGAGATCGAATGGGACGCAAAAAGGAAAAATAGCTCAGATCACTTGTGACTCATATAACAGGTTACAATTTGCAATTTATGCGACAAATAAAAGTAAACAATAGTAGTGAGTACTGGTCGCATCGAGTACGATGACATTGTTGGCCGATTCCCGCGAAAAAACTGGTCTCCACCACCCAGATTATCTGTTCATAGCGAACCTCATCTGAAAAACTACCTTATCTTGCACATTACGAACAACTAATTGGATATTTTAAAGATTTTTTTCGCTCGGCGAATAAATACGAGGTACGTGTGTGCAATCGGAAATGAGTGGAACCCGTCCAGTTGTGTCGATAGGTATTTCTGTTTCTGCTACGGGGCGACATACCTCGAATTTTTCCTGTTGCTGTCACAGAGCATTGTATGAAGTCGTTCTTATTCTTATATGTATTCTTTCTCTTTTAAACCGTTTATACGCTTCGCTAAATCGATCGATTATTGTCTTTAATTACTCATTAATCTATTTATTATATTTTTATATCTTTAAATCCTCTTACACATCTATTATTATTCATTTTTATTACCTACTAAACCGAACTTTTATTACCTACAATAATTAATAATTCCTCTTTAATTTTTTCTAATTAATACACTAAACTGAATAAATAGAGTACTAAATACTCCTAAATATATTAAACAACACTCCCAATTCGCTTACAATGCTTATTAATGCAAAAATAAGTACGAAACCAACAAATTTAGCGCGAAAAAATTCAAAACTTGGCACCACGGAACGCATTTACGCAGGACGAAAATGGCCGCGCGCTTGTCAAACTAATCGAGTGAAGTTAGCACCGGGACTCATCCGTTAAACACTCAAATACATATCACCGAAACTAACAAATGGGACTCAATTACTATCAATTCGTTATAATTAATAAATAATTACTCGAATTTTCGTACAACTGAATTAAATTGACCTAAACTTATTCGGTTATTCAGCATTGATATGTAAACAAATATTTGACGTTTGGCGAACTGTCAATAACTGTCAGGTTAAAAATCGTTTAAGCAATAACATTTATTATTACTCATTTTAATCGTAATCGAAACGAAAATGTCCCAAATCCACTGATAACAATAATTAGAAGTATACCGTAAATACCGATCGTTTATTACCAAAGGTAATTAACAATTCCTCGTTATTTATTTCTAGATAATATGGAAAGTAAACTGAAGAAATGGCGAACGAGACGAGACTTTCTGAAGCTCCTGCAGAGCAGAGAATACAAAGCGGAGACCTCTCGATATCTGAACCACCACTCGCAATTCACCGATAGCTTGATCAAACGCTTCGGCTTGGAACACGAACTCGAAGGGCACCAGGGCTGCGTTAATTGCCTCGAATGGACCCCGAACGGACAGTGAGTGTTAGAAATCTATCAATTCCGATTAAAATCAACCTGTTTTATTTCAAATCAAGACACCTAGCATCGGGATCGGACGACACCAACGTGATACTCTGGGACCCGTTTCGACACAAAAAACTAGAAGTCATCCCTACGCATCACATAGGAAACATATTTTCTGTTAAAGTAAACTATTACAACTCATTTAACACTGTTGTATATTAAACGATTAATTAGTTTATAGGAACGAGCTGTAACGAAATAGCCACAGCCTCGGGCGATTGCCGCGTAATGATACAATCCATACAAACAGCCCTAGCGAAAGGCCTGCCGATACTAGAATGCAATTGCCATATAAACAGAGTAAAACGATTGGCCACCTCGCCGTCAGAGCCTACATTGTTTTGGTCCGCTGCCGAAGACGGCCTCGTCATGTAAGCACCGATAACCGGTAACCGATCGTGAACTAACACGCTTCGTTTGTAGCCAATACGATTTGAGGGAACCCCACGAATGCTCCCCCTCGCAAACTAAAGTCTTGATCGATTTGTGCTACAATTTCGGAGAGGTTAAATGCATCGCCATCAATCCCACGAAGCCCCATTACATGGCCGTCGGGGCCAACGATTGCTTCGTGCGATTGTACGATCGAAGGATGCTCAAACCGTACGTGTCTCGACAGAAAGTTAGTACAATAAACTAGCTAATAAAACGTGTAATTAACCGTATAATTCGCGCTAGAGAGGTCCCTTGCATCTGCTCAGCGATCGGTTGGATTCGAAGCCTAGCCCGGGGGATTCGAATTGCTGCCAATACTACTCGCCGGGGCATCTGGCGGTGGAGAATTCCCAATCGAATAGCTTCAAATTGGCCGTTACCAACGTGTCTTTCGACGCCACGGGCTCCGAGATGCTTGCTAACGTAGGAGGAGAGCACATTTACCTGTTCGACGTGAACAAATCGAGGTATATCGAGGAGATTAGAGCGCCGGCGGCGTCGCGACGCCCTCCGAGCGGCTCTAAAAGACGCGCCGGCGTGTGCTCGAAGTGCTGGACAGCGGTGAGTCCGGTTAAAGTAGCCCTAGAGGGGGTTTAAGCGTGTATTTGTGTGTATGTGTAATGGTGGTTGCCTATGTAGTAGGGTGTATGTATAAAAGGGGTATTAAAAGAGGCTGTTGTTTGTAATAATTTGGTACTTTTGTTGCAGGAGAAGAACGGTTGTGTGAATACGAGCAAAACGAAGTGGTTGTCAGATGATAATTGCGTTTGTTTTTATTTAGACAGGGCGTTCGAGTGCCTTCAAAGGAAATGGTTGGTGTACACAAAATTGCTTTCTTCTTCTACTCTACGTTAGAAGAGATTTTAAAATAGGTAGTAGATTGATTGTGTGTTGTTTTTTGTAGGCTGGGCGATTTGTACAACGCCGCCCGCGATTTTCTGCACGTGATACGAACGTGGCCTAGCACCGTATTAGCCTACGTGGGGCTCATCGAGAGCCTGTTAGCCTTGAATTGGGCCAAGGAGGCCCAACAATGGTTGGATTACTTCGAAACGTTGCCCATCGTCTGCGACAATCCCACTGTAACGTATCCCGTCTCTATTATTATCGATTGTTTGTTTTTCAACCGAAATTTTCGTAGATAAACTCGTTTCGATTCAAATTGGAGAAATTGCTGGAGCAACCGGCGGTCGAGAAGGAGCCGAACGACGCCGAGGAGAACGAGCGGTTCCGAAGGAGGGTCGACGAAATCGAGCAAAAGAAACGATTGGAATCGTTGGATTTCGAGACGAGATTCGTGGGACATTGTAACATAACGACGGACATTAAAGAGGCCAATTTCTTAGGTAAAATAACGCAAGTAACACTCTACTCGCCCCTATACTGATGAATTATTACGAAACGTTTGTAAAATACGCATCGTACGTGAATAAGTGGGACTTTATAAGATGCGTTCGATGATACTTTAACGTCAAAAGTGACGTCATTGACGTTTCGTACTAGAGGTGGGAACGAATTTCTCGGTATAGAGGTGCAGTAACGACTGTTACAAAATAACCGTTATTTTTCGAAAAATAGTTGTTTTTTCGATAATTCGAGTCGTTTGTCGCGCAGGCGCCGACGGCAATTACATTTGCGCCGGATCCGACGACGGCATCATCTTCGTGTGGGAGAGAAAGAGATGCGGAATAGTGACGGCCGTGGTGGGAGACGTTTCCATAGTGAATTGCATACAACCCCATCCCAGCGCCTGCTTGATCGCGTCGAGCGGCATCGATACGGGCGTGAAACTCTGGTCGCCCCTACCGGAACCGGTGAGTAGCCTATTTTTAGCATAGTACGAGGCCATTTAGCCGATTGTTAGCATTACACGAGGCCACGAAATTCGTTAATAGCTGAATGTTGGCATAATAGGAGGCCGAGTAGCTGCAAGTAGCTGATTGTTAGCACAATAGGAGGCCAAATAGCTACAAATAGCGGCTTGTTAGCATAATAGGAGACTGAGTAGCTGCAAGTAGCTGATTGTTAGCATAATAGGAGGCCGAGTAGTTGCAAATAGCTGATTGTTAGCATAATAGGAGACCGAGTAGCTGATTGTTAGCATAATAGGAGGCCGAGTAGTTGCAAATAGCTGATTGTTAGCATAATAGGAGGCCGAGTAGCTGATTGTTAGCATAATAGGAGGCCGAGTAATTGCAAATAGCTGATTGTTAGCATAATAGGATGCCGAGTAGCTGATTGTTAGCATAATAGGAGGCCAAATAGCTACAAATAGCGGCTTGTTAGCATAATAGGAGACTGAGTAGCTGCAAGTAGCTGATTGTTAGCATAATAGGAGACCGAGTAGCTGATTGTTAGCATAATAGGAGGCCAAATAGCGGCTTGTTAGCATAATAGGAGACTGAGTAGCTGCAAGTAGCTGATTGTTAGCATAATAGGAGGCCACGGAATTCGTTTATAGCTGCTTGTTGGCATAGTTCGAGTCCTCGCGCGTTCGAAAATGACATCGAAAATGACGTATTTGCAGGACGACGAATATTTCGTGAATCCCCGGGGAGTGTCTAACATACCGGCGGTGGTTGAAGCGAATCAACATCGAATGGCGATGGATCCGTTGGAATCGATGCTGATCAATATGGGTTATCGATTATCCGATATGCCGGTACCCAACGAAGTACCATCCTGTCAAACTTCATAATCTAATATGAATTAGATTAGAATGCTTTTTTAATATCGTCCAATTTGGGATGTAATTATTATATTATTTTGTGTTTTTTTTTAATACAATTATATATTTTAGTTTATACACTGTTCTTTATTCGCGATTGCAACATGGGCATTTCTATGAGTTGAACAAAGAAAGATTATTAAAATGACAGTTGTCGGAGTGACAAGTTGCAATGACACAAATGTCACTCTTTCTTTTACCTTTATAAATGTCTAATCGAAGTTGTCTTGAGTTGCAATGAAAAATGGAGCAATCTGTATATGGCCTTTTACTTGTAAAGTTTTAATGCAGCGGCATTTTCGAATTTGGCTATTAGAAAATTGCGACTCGGGGGCAATTTGGTGTAATGTTTGCGAATCAAATAATTGAGCCGTAAATTCGACGCCTCCTACGTTGAATTCGAGCGGGATTTTTCCCCCCCGCGCCCCCCGGGCGTGCCCCCTTCCCCCGAGCTCTTTACTCCACTTAAAGCGTTTTCGCGTCGATTGCGGTGCTATAACGAGGACGTTTTGCGTTCAAATAGACTTAAGTTCGAATCGCATTCGAGCGATCGATGATCGATTAATCGATTTTGTGGGATTTTTCGGAAATGGGCCGGAACGAGGGGGTTTCGCGGCCTGCTTCGTTTTTTTCTGGGCCGGGTAATTGTGCGGGAATTGAATGAAATGGTGCCGATTCAATAGACACTCCTCTAAAGGTTTTTGTGATTGTTGTATAAGCGAGTTGATTATTTTATTTTTTTTATCTATTCAAAGTGATTTTTTTGGATTTGATAGTTTGCAGGTAAGAGTGTTTTAGATAAATTTTTTTCGTTAGTTTGTTGGGTAATTTCGATTTAAAGTTTGCACAATTTCAGTGAAACGTTGCGTGAAATAAAATTTAAACAAAAACTTGTATTTTTCGTGCTAAATCGAATGAATTGGCACGAATTTAAAACGATAGAATACCAATAAGTGACAGTTTGATCGAATATTTCAGAGATAACGAGCAATTATAAGGAAATTATTATCTGATTTAATCGTATTTTGTCGAGATTTCTTTTTGCGAAATCGATTGTCTCGCTCAAGTGGCTCGATTTAATTTTTTTGTAAACTAACACACATTTACTCCACAAACAATTCCTTGTATTCAATAACATAATAAAATGGCAACAACGCATAAAAATCGCGAAAATTACTCAATCAAACTAGTTTATTCCCCAATTCTCAAGAAATTCCTAAACATTGCGACGTTGCTCGATTTTCAGGAACCCATTGTAGCTAAAAATGATGTCAAAAAAGCAATGGTTCGTCCTTTTGTGCCTCTTCATTTTATATCTATTATTAGGCGCTTCCATTTTCTACTACATAGAATCTCAAGAAGAGAGAATACAACACGCGAAGGAATCCAGAGAGCGGCGATACATCGAAGGTAAAGCGACGTTTGACAAACGACAATTGACAGTTGACAAAGGACAGTCGAGTAGGTCCCAAAAATAACGAAACCGAATACGAAAATTGTGTGCAAACATTTAATTTTATTTGCATTGTACATTATACCGGCGATCGATTGGTTAACGAGGCGTTAATTGAGTTATTTGTCGAATATAAAACCTCGTTAATTGGCATTGATCGGTGCGAAAAAATCCTCACCCGATGCATAAGTAAGATGAATATTAAGTGATGTAAAAGTTCGGCTGATTTTTCTCCAAAATGGCCTTTTACTCGTCCAGTAAAGCGACATTAAATTCCTGCTCGTAATCTTTCTTATTGCGTAATATGGTTAAATGAAATTGATTTTATAATTATAATGCGTGAAATGAAGTCACAGAATAAAAGAAAAAACAACCGAAAGTTGTTTAGGAATTCAAAGCGTGTTCGATTGTTTCTGGAAAATGGCGATATTGTGAACTGATAAAAGTAGGCTTTGAGTGTTTGAGTGACAAAATAACCTGTTATTTAATCACGTTGAATTGGTATCAGTAATAGAGGTGGAATATTTTTTCTCTTACTCTCTCGCTCTATTTCAGTTGGTAGATTTCCACCCTCGCCTTGAACCAACCCTGTAGAATTTTAATTATAGTTTTTTATATTTCGTAGTAACTTTATATTCTAGTAAATGATATTTCAATCGACCGCAATTTCTCGGTTTTTTGATTGGAATTTCTGATTGAATCAGTTCGTTATAAAATTTCTAATATTATAGAGAAAAACCCATTATATTATAATCGTTTAAAAACCCCCCAAAGGAAATTTATTTTCTACATAATTCGCTAATTATGGAGAATGATCAGGCGAGTCAGATATGCAAATCGTCAAATCGAATGCGAAGCTAATATAAATATTTGCCGGATTTTTCGTGTTTTATTGTTAATTTGAACGGTCAATTTTTTTTCGAAAAAATTATTAACGACTAATTATCGAATTATTTACACGGATTTGTCGAACAAACAAAAATGACTGTGACTGAAACAAATGTTATTTTAACTGTTTCGCGAATTGCGAAGAATTACGTCAGTCACCTTTATTTTGGAGATTTTCGGATTTTCGAACGGAACGGCAACACCGTAAAAAAATCGAAATGGACGAATAATTGTTGTTATAGAACAATAATAAGCGTGTTCCAGATTTTATTTGTACTTTTATAGAGAATAATCGTAAAAAATTAAACCGGTCAACCTCTAAGAAAACCATTTCGTAAAAAATACAAAAGCGATTTATAAAAAATGTCTTTATTTCGGGGTCAACGAATGACATCACATTTTTTAATGTACTTACACTTAATAAGGTAACGAAAAATCTACTATTTTATTTTTATTATAATTTTATTTAAATTCCGAATAAATCACACAAACATCTGACGTTTGACAGGCGCTTTTGGCTATCTACACGAATCTCTACAGGCCTACTAATGACATAATTGACACTTCCAAACTGTTGATTTGACAGCCGTTTGAATTCGTTTGCCTACTTGATTAATTTTTTAGAATTATTGAAATCGAATTACGAAGGGAACGATGAAAACGTACACAGTTTATTCGACAGATTGAGCGATTATTGCGGCAAACCCGTCCATTACAACATGAGCTCAGAACCCAGCACGGGCAAATGGAATTACTACAATTCCTTATTTTTCGTCATCACCGTCGTCAGTACGATAGGTAAGCGGGAAATTACCGATTCGTAATCATCGTTTAACCGAAAAAATTCGATTTGTTAGGTTACGGCAACCTGTCGCCTACTACGATGTTCACCAGGATATTTATGATATTCTACGGCTTAATCGGGATACCCATGAACGGTATCGTCATGGTAACGTTGGGCGATTATTTCGGAAAATCGGTAAGTACCACGCTACTGTTTGCATTTTAAATTATATCCCTGTAATTTATTCCGCGTACGACTACGGATAATCGTGGGTTGTCGATTTTTCGCGATAAATCGATCGAGGTTAATTCGATTATGACAGATGACGTAAATGACATTTGCATTTTTTTTGCATAAAAATGTACGTAAAGCCTCGTCTGGATAATTCAGCCAACTTATAATCCTCTCGATCGATTTGACAAGTGACAGATGCAAGAAAAAACCAAGAAATGTTAATTTTTTCCAGTTCACCAAGCTGTACGAACGTTGGAAAACGCTGCGTTTGGAAAAACATTCGGCCAAATTGGGCCTAATAGGTCAAATAATCCTCTACGCGGTACCCGGTTTGACTTTCTTCATTTTTCTACCTGCCACAATAATCAGTTTCTTCGAAGGATGGGATTATGACGTCGCAGTTTACTATGCTTTCGTCACTCTAACCACCATAGGTTTCGGAGATTACGTAGCCGGTAAGTTCTTCTTTTTCCTCTTCTTTTTCTTCTTGTTCACAGTTGTGAGCTGGCCGAATGCGACATAACGCAAGAGGCCGTGTAACAGAAGAAGAACGTTGTATTTCGAACTCGTAAGAGCGCGCAACTTCTACAGCGCATTGACAGAATCGAGGCGTTTTGAGAGTTTAAAAAGCGCTGTTGCCGAGTATTAGTTGTTTTACTTGATTTAAGGGAAAGTTAGAAATGATATTATTCATTCGATTGAAAAGTAATTGAGTATTAAATTGATTACTCCTAATTACAATATACTAATTAATAATGAGTGAATATTTAAATTGAATGATTAATGTTGTTTAATTAATTGCAGTTTATTTACGTTAATTGTGGACGCTAATTACAGATTATATTAATATTTTATCAACAATGTAATTAAAAAAATGCATAATTAATGACTTGACAAACTGCATGAAAATAAGTGCAAATTTGTTAGCAAAATATGGTCAATTCTTTGAGTTAAACAAAGAAAGATTATTAAAATAACAGTGGTTAGAGTGGGAAAGTTGCCATCTCGCAATATCACTCCTTCTTTATCCTTTATAAGAAAGTAATAGAAGTTGTCTTTGTTGCACCCATATAGCCTATATTGCAAACAATTTTCCAATGGCGAACAACGACTTGATACAATTTGATACACAAAATGATGCACAATTGATGCAAAATTGATGCACAAATGATAAGTCAAATGATGCACAAAATAATGCATGAAATGACGAACAAAAAGATGCACAAAATGATGCACAAACTAATGCACAAATGATAAGTCAAATGATGCACAAAATAATGCATAAAATGACGAACAAAAAGATGCACAAAATAATGCGCCAAATCGCGCACAATTTGATACACAAAATGATGCACAAACTAATGCACTAATGATAAGTCAAATGATGCACAAAATAATGCATAAAATGACGAACAAACAGATGCACAAAATGATGCGCCAAGTCGCGCACCATTTGATACACAAAATGATGCACAATGCACAAATTGATGCACAAAATGAAGCACCAAATCGCGCACCATTTGATACACAAAATATTGCACAAAATAATGCACAAAATGTTGCACAAATGATGCACAAAATTCGATTAATTTCCAGGTCCGGTGAACGTGCACGGTTTCGACGCGACCATCTTCCTCTTCTACCACGTATTCCTGCTGGTGTGGGTCATAGGCGGCTTGGGCTACCTCCTCATGATCATCGGCTTCATCACGAAGGCCATGCGCAGCCGCAAAATCGTCCAAATCGAGAAACTACTCGCGCACAAGGTCAAAACGACCCCGTTGCGCATCCGCAACGAGATCAGGAGCCTCCTGCACGAGTTCCTCTTCATGCGCGTCAAGCCCGTCTACAAGGAGCCCTTCGACTACACGCCCAACCACCTGGACAGGACGCAGAGCTGTCCGGATTTGGTCCTCTGGAAGAGCGAGTTTCGTCTGGACAGAGCCGTGAGGAAGCGCGCCATGTCCGAATGCTACAAGTACAACGTCCTGGAGCGCGTCCAGTCCGAGTCCCATCTGGACAGGATCGACAAGGAGCGCACCTTCAGACCGTCGGACGCTCTGATGAAGCAGAAAGATCTCCTGCTGAAGGTCGTGGACGCTCTGAGCCTGGCCTCGGAGTCCTCCAGAGATGAGCCCGGTGGATTCTTCGGGGATTCTCAGGCGCCCCCGAGCCGACGAAGGGCTTTCAGCGACGTGAATCCCCCTGGTAAATACCCAGACACTCAATCTGGGAACACTTGGTACGGCAACGACGCTCTAACGGCTCTAAACGCGTTCAAACAGCGGCGGGAACGAGCCATGTCGACGGCGGATAGAGCCGATAAGACGTCGGTGTTGCAGAAATTCCAGCGCAACGTTGCCAGTAGGCTGTGGAGGAGCGATAGAGACGCGGATGTAGAGAAGCAGGCTTTGGAGCAAAGCGAATTGGAGCAGGGTAGGTTAGAGGCGGAGAGTACGCCGGACGGGAGCGTGCTAGAGCAGACGAGCATAGCCGATTTCATACGAGCTTTGAGCGCTCTAACGACTGAGGAAGAAGTCGAAGAAAGCGCGCCGAGGAAGATGTCTGTAGCGCAGGCGCAGCAGGCGAGGAAGTTGTCGTATTTGCCGAATTTGAGCAACAGGAGGAGCTCTTTGTTGCCGCCCGGGGTGTCTAACAAGAAGCCGAGGAGGTTCTCGATGACGCCCGTGATAGAGAACGCGTTGAGTCCGAGCGCGTCGCCGCCGTCTTATTTCGAAATAAGCGCCGGTAATTTGCCGACGGAGGCTTCTTCTTTTTCTTCTACTGCTTCATCGAGTGCGCTTAGGAAGTTTTCGGTTAGGCCCGTGCCGGTGCAATTGCAGAAGAGGAGAAGGACGCTGTCGGGTAGCAAAGATAAAGATAAGTGTTAATTAGGCTGAATAGAGTAGGTAGTTGAGGCCTCGAGTGATGTAGAAGAAGTATTTTTGTATATTTAGATGAATTTGTACGAATGTAGGATACTGTAAAGAAGAGAGTAAAAGTGGCTGAATTATGCTAGCGGAAGAGGACGCGAGACAAATTAAGAAGAATTGTTAATTGTAATTGTTAAATATTTAAATAAATAGCTTTAATTAAATAGAATTTGGATGATTAGAATAGAAATTGTTGTAAAGGTGTGTACATTATATAGGCAACCATTTTAATATTATGAGAAAGGTTGGTGTTAAAAGTGTTGCATATCTGTCAGATTTAAATGTCTATTTTAATCGAGATTATTATTTGTTTTGAACAAGATTTTTTGGGCCAATTTATGTCAATTGGGACATTTTGAGCTGTCTAAAACAATTTAGAACACTCCAGAAACATTTAGAACTGCGACAAATTAAGAAGAATAGTAAATTGCATTTTTTAAATATACTGCTCTACAAAAGTTAAGGAAGTTCACAAATATTGAGATTAATTTAAAAGTTGCAGGTTTTTTGATCACCAAATTTAGTATGAATTGTAAAGGAAGGGGCAAAAAAATCCACTCAGATACGAGAGAAAACATTTAATTTTGCATATTTGAAAATTTGGTGATTAAAAAGTCTGTAACTTTTAAAATAATCGCAAAATTTGCGAACTTCCTTAACATTTGTGGAGTAGTTTATTCAAATAAATCGTTTCTACAAGCTTCAATAAAAATAATAATAAAATTTGGATGATTAAAGTTGGTTACATTGTATAGGCAACCATTTTGACATGAGAAAGGTGAGTGTTAAAATTGTTGCATAACTGTCAGATTTAAATGTCAACAATTTAATGGAGAAAATTTGTTTACCTTGTTTATTTGTTTTAAAGAAAATAGAATTGTTTGTATCGATTCATTTCAAATAAAAAAAAAAACTAAAATACTACTAAAAAACGGAATCGTAAAATAAAATTAATTTACTCCAATCGAAAACGTATCACCCGATCGAGTGACAGTTTAAACAACACAAATAATTCAAATGACACGTTTGTTCGTTCAACTGTTTTAGAGAAAATGAAAATGATAAAATAGCTTTTTTTTCAAGCGAATAATAAAAGGGCGGTTTTTCCGGTGACTATTCGACCGGCACCGGCACAACAACGGCAACATGGCGCAAAATGCATTAGAAGAAGGGTGGGGTTCGATGCGTATGCACACGAGACGCGGCCAACTACGAAATCGGGGGTAGGCGGGGTAACCCGAACGATCCGCGTCGCCTTCCATCCGATCCATCAGAGCAAGCCCCGAAGACTGACGTCATCGCATCGGCTCGTCGTGCTGCGTCGCCTACTTCGATATACACACATACATTTCGGCGTACCGAGAGCATTGTTTGTCGGTGTGTTTGTTGGTGCTGTCCCGGTATTATATTTACAAACTGTTTAGTGTCGAACGAACGAAGAGGAATTTAGCAGAAGCGAATCGCGATGGCTACGGAAGTGGAGAACAACGCGCCCGAGACAAAAGAGATCAAAGAGGAGAAGGAGAGCGACAGCAACAAAGCCGAGGAGGCGGCGAAACAGGAGAAGACCGGCGGCGGCGACGAGGCCAAAGAAAAGGAGAAGGAGCCGGTCCCCGCGAAGGCGGCCGTGCACAAGGCCAACTTCGAAAAGGACGTGGTTTATTTATATCAATTTTCGCGTACGCCCTTGTTGCCATCTTTGTCGCCCTATTGTTTGAAAGTCGAAACGTGGTTGAGATTGGCCGGCGTCAAATATGAGGTGAGTCCCTTTAATTTAATTACCAATCGATTGTTACTACGAAAATTACCATACAACAAATTACAACAACAATTTTCATATCTTATAAATATGTTCGTAAATGTATCCGTCTCTTTTCAAACGGACGGTTTCGATAGAGACGGAGAGAACATTTGCCTAGCGGCGTTCGATAGGGGTGACCGACCTTTCCCGGCTCTCTGTATCTTTTTTTTCACGCCATTGTGATTTATCTATTTTGTACGAATGTTTAAATCATAGGGAATTATAATTTATTGAGAAACGAAAGAATCGATCGGCGAGAACAAAGAAACTTTCAAACGTCAATTAGTATGTCATTTTAGCTGTCAAATTAACTTATTGTAGTAATATTCGAAATTGCTATGGAAACGAAAATTACTTGTTAATAAAAACTATTAATTCGCTTAAAAACGATTAATTTACTCGATTAAATTCGATTTTTTCGAAAAGGGGGTTTAAACTTTAAACAATTTCTAGTTCTCGTAGAAATCGGTTACTCCTTGACATGTCAACGTCAAAACGACCTGTCAAATGAGAAATTTATATCTTATCGAATTTAATCGAATTAAATGTACAAATTAGAGTACATTGACCCAACGAGAGCACAAGGTTGATGCTAGTAGATCGTAATTCGCCAATGAACTTGAAAAAATTTTTCGTCGTCTCCTTCCCACATATACCCGCCCGTCCCACGAAGCAGACAGAGAGGTGCGATTTCGAATTTTTATTTGAATCTTTGTTTTTTTGTTTTTATTATTGTCTAATTAGCAAAATCGAGGACGAAAAGTTCATTTTTATTGTATGTGTGCGAGATTTTCAAACTACTAACCTTAATTTCTCGTTAACGGACGACTAGATGAAAAGAAAAAAAAAGAAAGTATAGATAGGTTCTTTGTTCATCTAACATAAATTATATGACCGTCCTTTTCTAATTAGTACTTATTGTAGTGACGTTTGTAACAGGAGGGTGTTTGACATTTTCAAAAGTAATTGTTGACAGATTGACATGTGTTGAAAAAACTATCTCTATCTTTCTCCTCTTTGAACTTCTGTAGCCAACTTGATTTCGTACTTATAATTTTATTTAGGTCATACTACAGGGGTGGCGCGATTATTTATTCTCGTACGCTAAACATAATACGAGTGGACGTTGATAAGTTTATTATCTCGAGAAGTTTATCTCTTGGTAAATAGAAAGAATCGCTGGCATTTCCTCTTAGGCGTTTGATTATCTATTTGTCAAATGTCGTAAGTGGAAATGTACGTGTTGTGTATTTTATTTATCGGTTATTTTACTTTAAATTCCTCGGGTAAGCGGTTTTTGTTTATTTTCGAACGCCGACATGTTTTGAAATTTTTAACAATTCTTCGACGAGAACGGGGATTTCGTTTATTTACGTGTTTACTCTCGCACGTATCGGGCGGTACACTTCGACTCTCCCCCGTACATTCTTTCCCACTGAATAAGACGAAACAGATGCGGGCCCAACGACATCTGTTTATCCCATGTTAACGTAAATATAATAACAGAAACTCTTGCTCTTTTGGTTAAGAAAAAAATGCTAATATACGAGGGTCGCATGATAAATTTCCATTTCCTCGTAAAACGAAAACATCTGTCTTGTCCAGTTTAGCGTTAATTGAAACTAAAGAAACTCCCGAACAGTCCTGTTACTGTTCGAGATGATAATTAACAAACATTTAAAGGCGCAATTAAAAGAGCAAATAAACGATTAAAGTCGATGAATCTATTAAAACAAACGTCAACAATTTAATATAAATAGTGCCCGGTACTAATTAGTTTTAAAATTTTCCATATTCCACCAATTTACGAGTAAATAGTTGTGTACGAGGGACGTTAGAAATATTCCAACAATACGAGGGCGTCACCTTATGTAGATTCCTCCTCAAGCCTACTCGATATAACAATAAAAAAATGAACCAATTCGCCGGAATTCCGCATCAAATACCCCCCATTAAATTCGAGTAATAGTACACAAAGGATGTCTCGAAATCACGTCGGTAGTTCGATTTTGACAAGTGACAGATATCGAGCACCTTTCGCGAAGAAAAAAACGAGAGTAGGCCATTTGAGGTGGAGAATTTGACGTTATACAACAAATAAAATGTGGAAATCGCGTTACCCAGACCGTTGCCATGGCGACAGCCGGGTCTAGAGCTCCGGTTGCTAGGAGACGGGCTGCGTCGCGGCGGCGGTCGGCGACGTCGGGGGCGGAGGCCGACGTTCGAGAGGTCCTTGCTCCGGCGACACAGTTTAACGTTGGCGAGCGACGTTGCCGGATCGATTTATCCGGGTTTTGGGTACAAACGGTTTTGTAGCCCAAAATTCGTTGTTTTTGGTCTGTTTTGAGGCATGTTTGTGCTCTAAATTCGTTGTTAACGAAATCTTTGGAAAATTTCCAGCTTCAAAAACCGCTTTTTATGCGTAATTTGCGATAAAATGACGCACCGAATACTATTCTGGTAATTTCCTTACGGTTTTCCGGTGCAATATTTCGCGTTTAATCATACTCTGAATATATACGGAATTATTATTTATCTAGTATTTAATTTTAGAAGGAATGTCGAGGAACGAATTGTTCTCGAAACGATGTTGTTTGTATCGATATTCGAACAACAATTCGAGCGAATCTCTTCTCGGAAATCGAACGGTTCGAAATTTACGATTTCAATAAATGGAAACTGAGAGCAAAACGTCGATAATAAATAACGATAAATCGCCTATATTATTTTTAGACTGTAATTAAAACCCATCGGAGAAATAAATATTTATACCGACGTTTATCTCAATTAACGATTAATTAAGCGAGAAAACGCCAAACCGAATAATTAGGTCTCTAATTAAAACGTTTAGATTTCGCGTACAAAAATAATTTTACATTTTAACACGTCCACTGCAACGATATTAATAAAAAACCAGGTGTATCAGGCTCGGGAATAAAAAAAAATTAGCGCTATTAGTAACATCCCGAGTATGGAATGCGCTTTTTAAATGCACTTTAAATGCACCGTCCTTGCATATTTCGCATTCCTCTCTTAATGAATATGCGCGTCGCATTTAAAAAATAACGCATTCGGGTAATGTATTATGCGCTCGGACTTAATCGGACGCGTTTGTGCTCGAAATTCTAATAATTTCCGATTTAATTACTTCCTGTTAAAATTTCGAAACCGAAATCGATCGATCGATCAATCGAAAATCCGTTACGAGTTATACTTCGAACGTTATTTCTTCGTAACATCGCAAATGGAGACGTCGATGTGGCAACAGCGCTGATTTATTTTGTTGTTTGATAGAAAAATAATGTTAGTTAATTAAAAGGTTTGTTTATTTCGATTTAAGGCTTCAGGTGCAAGGCTTTTTGGAGTAACAAAGGTTCAATTGGGACATTTTGAGCTGTCTAGAACCATTTAGAATGCTCCAGAATCATTAAGAACTGTCCAGACTCATTTAAAACGCTCCAGAATCATTTAAAACTGTCTAGAATCATTTAGAACTGTCCATTTAAAACACTCCAGATTCATTTAGAACGGTCCAAAGTCTTTTAGAATTGCCTGGAACCATTTAAAATGCTACAGGATCATTTAAAACTGTCTAGAATCATTAAGAATTGTCCAGACTCATTTAAAACGCTCCAGAATCATTTAAAACTGTCTAGAATCATTTAGAACTGTCCATTTAAAACACTCCAGAATCATTTAAAACTGTCTAGAATCATTTCGAACTGTCCAGGCTCATTTAAAACGCTCCAGAATTATTTGGAAGTGTCTAGAATCATTTAGAACGCTCCAAAATAATTTAGAATTGCCTAGAACCAGTTAGAACGCTTCAGAATCATTTAGAACAATCTCGAATGCTCTAGAATCACTTAGAACTGTCTAGAACCACTATAGAAACATTCTATAGAATCATTTAGAACTGTGTAAAATCTAGAACAATTTAGAACGCTTCAGAATCATTTAGAACTGTCCAAATGCAAAATGCTCATTATCATCTCCATTTTTTCGTATTTATTAATCCAACGAGTATAAATAAAACATTTTTGTGGCATTTCTCGTGTTATCTACCCATAAAAATATACCCTAATATCCTGTATATAAAATATAATCTCTAATTTATTCTAAAATTACTACTAATTCAAATTACATTAGATAAGGGCGCTTTAATCGCTCCTCTATCGGATATCTCTCAATTGAACCAATCGAAACTAATTTTTGTTATAATAAAAAAATTATCAATTATTTTTCTATTCAAAGAATTTATCAGGGGCATTGAAATTGAATGCGTCTATTCATATTATATTAGACAATCGCATGAATCACCGCGTTGTTTTGTTTATCACACATTGCATTTATACCGCATAACTTAATTTTACAGGGCCGCATCCAGCCCGATTGATTTATTCATATTTGGCATCAAAAGAGTTTAAATGATTTGCAATAGTGATAAGCAGAAGTGTTAATTAAATTTTCGTGTATTGGATACACTAATGGGGTAAATTACCCTCGTAAAAATCTCGAGTACGCCACTTGAAAGTGTTTGAATAATTTATAAAAATGATTTTACAGAAGTATACAAATTAAATTTTCTTTGCCAGAATGTAGTCTCTTATTATACTAAGAATATTCTACACAAGATTTTGCTGGACAATAGCTCTTATTATTGGTGTAATTTGCCCTATCAAAAATGTTGCAGTACGCCTCTGGCGGTTTTTAAAATGCACCCATACAAGTCTGGGCGTTCAATTGAATCCAATCATCAATCCTGCATTAATAAAATGTGGGCTCCTCTATAAACTAAATTTATATAACAGGATTATTCAACAAGCTATTGCTGGATAATAGTTCGCATATTATCGCACTAATGGGGACAATTTGCACTAATAAAAAATCCCCAGCACGCCACTGCCGGTTTTAAAATGCGCCTACATTAATAACACTGATTTACAAGGTTTTCTGCAACGTTCCAGAATCATTTAGAATTGTCTAGAATCATTTAGAACTCTTCAGAATCATTTAAAATTGTCTAGAATCATTTAGAACTGTCCAGACTCATTTAAAACGCTCCAGAATAATTTAAAAGGGTCCATAATCATTTAAAACTGTCTTGAATCATATACAATTGTCCAGAATCATTTAGAACTGCCCAGACTCATTTAAAACACTCCAGATTCATTTAGAACGGTCCAAAGTCTTTTAGAATTGCCTGGAACCATTTAAAATGCTACAGAATCATTTAAAACTGTCTAGAATCATTTAGAACTGTCCATTTAAGAGGCTCCAGAATCATTCAGATTTGTCTAGAATCATTTAGAACTGTCCAAACTCATTTAAAACACTCCAGAATCATTTAGAACGGTCCAAAGTCATTTAGAATTGCCTGGAACCATTTAAAATGCTACAGAATCATTTAAAACTGTCTAGAATCATTTCGAACTGTCCAGGCTCATTTAAAACGGTCCAGAATCATTTAACAGGGTCTAGAATCATTTAGAACGGTCCATTTAAAACACTTCAGAATCATTTAGAACGGTCCAAAGTCATTTAGAATTGCTTGGAACCATTTAAAAGGCTCCAGAATCATTTAAAACTGTCTAGAATCATTTCGAACTGTCCAGGCTCATTTAAAACGCTCCAGAATCATTTAACAGGGTCTAGAATCATTTAGAACTGTCCATTTAAAACACTTCAGAATTATTTAGAACGGTCCAAAGTCATTTAGAATTGCCTGGAACCATTTAAAATGCTACAGGATCATTTAAAACTGTCTAGAATCATTTCGAACTGTCCAGGCTCATTTAAAACGCTCTAAAATTATTCGAAATTGTCTAGAATCATTTAGAACGCTCCAAAATCGTTTAGAATTGCCTAGAACCATTTAGAACGCTTCAGAATAATTTAGCACTATCTAGAATGCTCCAGAATCATTTAGAACTGTCTATAACAATCTAGAACGTTCAAAGGGTAATAAAGAACTGTCTATTACCATTGAGAACACCCAAGAATCATTTATGACTGTCTAGAACCATTTAGAACGGCCTAGAAACATTTACAATTCTATCTAGAACTACTTAAAAAGCTTCTAAAACGCATTTAAAACTGTATAGAACCATTTAGAACAGTCCAGAAGCATTTAAAATTCTCTAGAACCATTTAGAACGGTCTAGAACCATTTAGAACGGTCTAGAACCATTTAGAACGATCTAGAACCATTTACAATCCTGTCTAGCAGGCCCCGTTTATAAATAAAACTTAGAGGTTCTCTATAATAAAAATGGCTTCTATTCGATTGCAGAACGTCGACCACAAGATCAAGTACCGCTCCAAAAAGGGCCAGTTGCCCTTCGTCGAATTGAACGGCGACGAAATCGCCGACAGCGCCCTCATCATCAAAGAGCTGTCGCAGAAATTCGACCAAGACTTGGACGCCGGCCTGACCGCCGACCAGAAGAACCTCGCCCACACCACCGTCTCGATGATCGAGAACCACCTGACGTGGGTGGTGATGTGGTGGCGCACCAAGAACCCCGACCAGATGCTCAAGGGGTACAAGGTGAACCTGCAGCACGCGCTCGGCTCGCGGATACCCAACGGGATATTGAATTTCTTCTTTAAATTCGCCTACGGGAGAAAGGTGAGTACCGATGGGTCCGATTGGGATCTTCGAGAACCCGATTTTTTGTATTTAGTCGATAAAAAATGTCCTGCATGCTGCGCACTAATCCCTACAGCGGGAATTCCACGACCTACTAGGCTTTGTGGCGAGTCCACACCCAATAAGTGGGACTTTAAGATGCGTTCGATGATACATTAATGTCAAAATTGAACGAAATTGACATTAAATGACGTTTCGTATGACAGAAGTTTAATAGAGGTGGGAATCGATTTGTTTGGTATAGAGATGCGTTAAAGTCTGTGACAAAATAACCGTTATTTTCCAAATACCGTTTTCCTGATTACTCTATTTTGCTCTATTCTCTTCTATTCTGCTCTTTTAATGTAATCTATGACAAATTACCAGTTGTTTTTTCACATCGTACGCGAATAAGTGGGGCTTTAAGATGGGTTCGATGATACATTAATGTCAAAATTGAACGAAATTGACATTAAATGACGTTTCGTATGTCACAAGTTTAATAAAGGTGGGAATCGATTTGTTTGGTGTAGAGATGCGTTAAAGTCTGTGACAAAATAACCGTTATTTTCCAAATGCCGTTTTCCTGATTACTCTATTTTGCTCTATTCTCTTCTATTCTGCTCTTCTCTCTTTTACTGTAATCTATGACAAATTACCAGTTGTTTTTTCATATCGTACGCGAATAATTGGGGCTTTAAGATGGGTTCGATGATACATTAATGTCAAAATTGACATTAAATGACGTTTCGTGTGACACGAGTTTAATAGAGGTGGGAACCGATTTTTCGGTATAGAGATGCTGTAACGACTGTTACAATATAACAGTTATTTATAGTTCTAATTTCTCGTATAAAGTCTGAATAGAAATTATTAGATTTTGCGTATTTTATCGCCGTCGGGCGATGCATTTTACATAATATTCCCGCAGCTCGCGTTTATTTATAATATTATGTCAATTGCGATACCGGTGAAAGTCAATGAAACTCTCGGGCATTGTTTGAAATTTCGCAATCGGCTCGTTTTCGTTGGGCAATTTCCCATTTGCGAGTCTAATTGAATATTTATCGGCGTAATGGCGATGTTAAATTGAAAATTCAAAGCCCCCGCGGGCAAAACACCTGCTTTTCCAATAGAAAAGTCCATCTAAAAAGTGAAAAAAAAATCACGTCCTTCACTCCTTTTATTAAGCAGCTACTTGAAGAAATTCCTGCCCTTTACTCATTCGATTAAGCAGCTACCAGAAAAAAAAATCCCGCCCTTTACTCGTTCGGTTAAGCAACTTTAGTTCGATTCCTCCGCCTCTTACCATCTATTCAACTAGCCAACTTTAGTGTGATTCCCCGGCATCTTACTATCCATATTGAACTAGCCAAATTTATTGCAAGTCCCCGACCTCTTATTATCCATTCAGTTAGCCAATTTTGGTGCGATTTCCCGGCCTATTTCTTCCCATTAAACCAACCATCTTTAATGCCAATACCTCGGCCTTTTACTACGCCTTCAACCAACCAACTAGTACTCATCCCCGGCCTCTTCCTACCCATTCAACCAGCCAATATCACTGCATGATCGTCCCAATTAACTCGCTTTTCTCCGTAGCAATAGAAACGTGCACGTTTATATATCTTTTAGCATGATTTTCCAGTGTCGTTCTCATAGCGTCTAGTCGTTTTTAATCGCGTTCGGGTGACAATTTTAGTGGTTGCAGGGATCAAAGAAGGTCAAAGCCCAAGGCATGGGCGTCCATTCGGCCGACGAGGTCACCGAATTCGGCCAGGAGGACCTCAAGGTCCTCTCCGAGATGCTAGCCGACAAACCTTTCTTCTTCGGCGACGAACCCACAACGGTAATTACCAATTATCTTACCTAATTAGCATAATAATTGATGGTTTAATTGTGTGTAGTTGGACGTGGTGGTGTTCGCCAACTTGGCGCAGATCTACTTCATCGACAAGGAGGTGTCCTATCCGCTGAGGGACTTCATGACGGAGTCCTGCGCGAACCTGGTGGGCCTGGTGAACAGGATGAAGGAGCGCTGCTTTCCCGACTGGGAGGAGATCTGCACCAATTTGGACTTGAACGCGCATCTGCCGAAGCCCAAGCCGGAGGAGACCAAGGACAAGAAGGAGGAGGCCAAGGACGAGAAGGAGGAGAAGGAGAAGGAGCCCGAGGAGAAGGACATCGAACAGGAGAAGGTGCGATTGGTGTTCGATGAGTTGTAATTGGAGTTAATTTGTTGTGGTTTTTTTTGTTTTAGGCCGACGAGAAAGAAAAGGACAAAGCTAAGGAAAAGTCAGAGGAAAACAAAGAGAAGGAAGGGAAATAATAACCTTTTTTTTTCGATTTAACAAGTAATATTTCAAGCCCAATTTACCCGAGGCTCGTAATAATTATTCTTCTTTTATATAATTTTTTTATACGTATAACTTGAACTGTATGTGCAACAAAAACACGAACCGTAAGTTTATTATAATGCGTAAGGATTTACTCAATTAGTAATCGAAATTTTAATTGATTTAATTGAAATACTCCACGATTAAATGTAGTGTCGCTCTTTCCTCCCGTTTCGGATTTGTTTTAATAGTAATTACTCGAAAAATAATACAAAATTAACGTAAACCGATTTGTTTTATACATAATGAATTCATTTTTAGCTTAGGATTTTTTATTCGTATTTGTAATTATAAAATTAAGCGGGATAAAAAAAATAACCATTTTCACGCAGATTTTTTTACCATTTCGTAGCGCATTTATTGTATTCATTCCATTTTGTAATAATCGAAAATCGATTCCGATGTTTATGAAATAAATCGAATTTCTAGCTTAACAGTAAGAGGTTAATCAAAAACACCGGAATTGCGATCGAATAAGTACGGGGCATCACGAAATTTTTGTACTCGCTTTCTCGTCAATCTGTATTCCGTAGATTTTTGTATTTTTTTATTCAAAAAAAAACACAAAGTTGAAAATTTCGAAAAAAAAAGGACCTTCCAATTTGCCGAGTGTTCCGAATTGGAGGCGCCCCCTTACGAATATTACCGCTAAATAAGAAACTGTGTTGTATGCTAAAAATTAATTTGAAATTAAAGTGAAATTTTAAGTTAAAACCACTCATTTTATTCACCATATAAACGCCATTTTAGATAGTTTTCACAAGCGCCATCTATTCGTTTGCGTTAAAACCAACAAACAAATTACAGGAATCTGCAACGTCAATTATGACGTATGAATCGTCCGCTAGGGGGCGTTTTGTAGCGAAACCGCCAGGCCCAGGACAGCCTTATGAGAAATTTTCGACGTTCAATTTAGTTTTACTCGATGCATGTAGTTGGCGCGGCGATCGTTTTTTTTGAGAAACAGCGCAAGCAACCCACGCAACATGCCGTAGATCATTATTAACGATTTTTGAACATGTGCAGTTCGAAGAGTTTTGAAATTTTGAAATACAACCGAATAAATATTTTTTCCAACTATTGTTAGTTATCGATTATACAAAGTGCTTTGGTATTTGCTGTGAGTTTTATAAATGAATAATTTGTGTATTGTCAACGTGATTCTACCATTCTATTGCTACAAGACTTAGAAATTGTTGCAGCGTCGATCGCCATTTTTCCAAAGCAGATTTCCAATCATCGGAAGGTCTGAAATCAGACAAGATTGCTGTGTCATGCTTTCTTTTCAAGGTAAATATAATTAACATTCGTACATAATTTCATCAAATATCATTTTTATCATATTAACTGCTTATTTTTTTGTTACAGAAAATGGAGATAGTTCTATTGGGTTTGGCGAGCTACCGACCACCGATATAAAATGACTGGATTTCTCAGAGAAAGGTTTGTGAATTATTTATTGTATTGTTAATAGGCCAAAGTACTTTAAAGTCTAAATTATTATTCATAATACGTAGGTTTACATTTAAAATTATGATGAACTATTTTAATATTGTACTATTTAAGTGTATTATATTTATGTTTATATATGTAGGTATTAAATTATATTGAATTAATTAATATCTAATTTTAAATCCGCAAATTTGTATGTTTTTTAAATATATATTTTTAAAATGAAACGTTTTTGTCGTTAATTTATTTGTGAAAGTAATTATTTTCGATATTATCCAATTTCTTGTAAAACTTGTACAATTTTTTATACTATGTGTCTATATTTAATAATTACATAAAATTCTTATACATTTTATATAATTATTATTATAAATTATAATAGTATAATAAATTGTACAAGTTTTACAAGAAATTGGATAATACGAACAAGAAAAAGAAAAAAGTCGAATAGAAAACCAGTATTACACGACTGCGTTTATACTAGCCCCTTTTTACTATGCAACAACCATTACAAATTACAGTTTCCGTTACCATTTAGTACCACTCAGTGCTCTCAGGATGCGCTCTACAACGTCTACGAAATTCTCACGGAGATGTCCCTTCTTGTTTATGTATGTTCTGTGGAAACCGCAGCATCTGCTTTGTGTTTATACGCGGAAGGTGAAAGTTTACTTGTTTACTAATAAATAGGAATTCGAGTGGTGCAATCGGAGCGATCAGCGAGCGGAAAAGCGCGTGTTTTAATCGTGGAAATCGAGGAAAACCCGCGGTAATTCGGCCGACTGCGATCGTGCTTTCCCTTCGACATTAGACGGCGTCACTATGGTGGCTATGAACAAGCAAATTTACTTGTTCTCGAAGAACTTTCTCAAAGTGAAAAATCTCTATCCGGTGAGCTTTTGAGCGCTGTAGTGGGTTTCCCGTTTTAATTACCGAAAAGACTGCACATTGAAGACTGGAAATCCGGCGTAAAAATCATCAGGAACTCCATTTGAAAGGTAAGTTTCGTTTGTTTACTTATCATATTCTGTCTTGCAAACGTCAAAAAATTTTATATTACAAAAATCGAGTAGGTGAGTTTATTAAAATTAACCCAAAATTTTCATTTGCTGCATTTCTAACTCTCGTTTTACTGGGAATATAGGTCACGTAATAATTGTGGTAAGGTCGACGACCCTTTAGTTAGCTCAAATGGTTACCAAAATTCTTCACCAAATAGAATATCTAAATTGCGACGTTGCCGCTTCGATTCGTCTAATGTCTAATGCATGGTGATCTAAGTGGCCGTGAAGTTGTACTAAAATTTCTAAAATTATGCTTTTAGAGCAACCTTGAATCTACTCGTCGATTTGAGCTGTTTGATTTGTTCATAATTACTAGGTTTTTTATTTTTAACGATCTGGCAACGTCGCCTACGAGATCCCTTCTAATCTCGCGCTGTTTTCTAATCACGTTTGTTAGTACAAACTGTCGACGATAGATGGCGACAGCTGCATACTTTCGGATTTGATTTTCGGCGGAGGAAAATAGATAATGTTCTTTTTAAGGTTGCATAAAAATCAAATTCGAACTTTAGAACGGAATGTCGCGAGGTTATCGGAATGTTTGTTGAAGAGAATCCCTTTTTTTATTCTTTCGAAATATCTTAAATTCCGAATCGACTACGTTTGACGTATTTGACAGTAATGACGTCTGTTCCCAGGGGAATTATTCCTTGAAGAACATACAAGAAGGCGGTGGAGGATAATTGAAAAAGTGGAGGCAGACGGCACGCGCGGCCTCCCGTCGTTTGTTGTTCGATGACTTTTAATTCATTCACAAACATCCGGGGAATTTTCGTCTCGTTCGACAAGGAAACGCGACCGCTATTTTTAGAATTACATTTCGGTATAATAACAGTTTAATAATACCCCGGCTAATTTTCCCGAAATCGTCGGTTTCACGGTCACGGTGCCGTAAGCTTAGCCACGACTAGAATAGTTCCTAACACGGAACCGTAATCTCAGACAGATTCTAATGATACGAAAAATTTGACAGGCCAAATTGTCAAAATGGCGGATGGTTTATTAACAAGACCAAACCGACCCATTAACAATAAATTATTTTAAACTATTCGATAGAATTTTTAGAATTACATTTTGGTACAATAATAGTTTAATAATACTCTGGCTTATTTTCCAGAAATTGTCGTTTTCGCGGTCACGGTTCTGTAAGCTTAGCCACGGCGAAAATAGTTTTCCTAACACGGAACCGCAATCTCAGACAGATTCTAACGATACGAAAAATTTGACAGGCGAAATTGTCAAAATGGCGAATGGTTTATTAACAGGAATAAACCGACCTATTAACTATAAATAATTTCAAACTATTCGATAGTAAATAGTACGAGCGAAGGCCGAATTAATCAGGTAGGTTGTTATCGTCGTGTGGCGAGCACTCGGGCACCCGAAAAAATTCGTCTGAGCTTCTCATTTTTATTAATAACTAACCTATCCCCATAAAAAAGTTTGCGACATTCATCCATTTACGCATTGTGGTTTTGGGAGTTTGTCAATCGTAACCGCGACGTTGCCACGTTCAACCTTCAAATTTTTACCACCCACATTTTTTATAACCTTGTACGTCAAATACGATAACTTCGTTCGACGGAACTTCGTGTCGGATATCAATGAGTTGGTGCAAACTTCACGTATGTCTTTTATTCCATATAAATCGAGTTGCATGGTGATTGAAGTTGATTGTTTGTAGTGTTTTCTGCGATTTACGAGGCATTGTGGCAACGTCGCCGGATTGCGAGCCGTGGGTACGTTCCGCACAGTAGGGTCTTACATGATTGCCAGTCAAGGTGAAAAATGAAATAACAACTATTTTAGTCGAAGGTCAATAAACAACTAGGCGAATGATAAGATATATAGCCTACAATAAAAGCGAATTGAACGTTTCCTACATTATGAAAAATTATGTATCCAACTGTATTTTCGATTCGTGCAGTTGTTAATTATTTCGTTAATTCGGGAATTTCGTTATGAACCGGCAACGTCGCAATTTTTATTCGCCACCCACTCGATGGAGACGTGGTGATAATCGAAACAAAACTCCGCACAACAAATAATTTATTATTTTGTCGATGCAAGTAATTTTATTATGCAATGTTATACTGGTATGATTTAATCGAAGAAAAAAAAATCGATTCGAATTTCCCCTCGTCATCAGCGCAAATCGATGATTTGCGAAATGCATCTTTTTGATGCAACATCCGATTCAAAACTACGCATTTTTCACTAATGAACTCTTCTTTTACAAAAAAAAAACATAAAATAATTATTACTAATTACGCATCAGGAATCAAAATGCACATTTCATTACAATTATGCTACAAAATTGAACTTTGAGATATAATATGCACGTTTGTATCGATCGAATGCATCGAAAAACTCGTATTTTATGCAGGTAGTTTATTATTATTATTTTTTTTTCCTTCAATTATTCGTACTACATGAATTAGTTAAATTATAGCCGTGTTGCATTGTCATTGAAATGCCCCTGGGCGGTGCATAAGCGTTCGAGTTCGATCGAAATTGCACGATGGAAATTTTCCACAAAAGATAATTTCCTCGTTTAAATAATACACGACTGTTTAGCAGACAATGCGACTCCTACTATGCGATTTTTTTTTATTTTAAACAACGCTATTTGTTTAGTTTGTTTTATTTGTGCATTAAAATTATTGGTAATTGATTAATTCGTGGCCTCTTACCTACAAGCCTATCAGTTAGTGAGCTATGACTTTTTGACTGAATAGCAACGGTAACTGAGGCTTTGAATTATAAGAGAAGAAGTAACGAGTGTTTTTTTGCTTTATTATGCGCTATTTGTGCATTAAAATGGTTGGTAACTGATTAATTCGTGGCCTCTTACCTACAAGCCTATCAGTTAGTAAGCTATGACTTTTTTGACTGAATAACAACGGTAACTGAGGCTTTGAATTATAAGAGAAGAAGTAACGAGTGTTTTTTGCTTTATTATGCGCTATTTGTGCATTAAAATGGTTGGTAATTGCTTAATTTGTGGCCTCTTACCTAAAAGCCTTCTATAAGTTAGCGAGCCATCACTTTTTTTCTGAGTGTTTTTCGGCGTTTTTTTAATCTAAATACTATTAAATTGTTTTATGGATTTGTTATATAACAATATAAGTAAATTGTCTGTCGTATACAGTAAATTATTACAATGCAACTAGATAAAACAACAATTAATTTTTAT